GGCCTGTCAAATGGCAGGAAATATAGGGGTTGGGAGTACGTTATACCATATTTATAACAATGAACCCCCAAAAGAGTATCGATAATTTTTTAGGTTCTAACTTTTAAGGCCCCTACAGTATCCTTGAGGAGCATGACGGTTCACTGGCGTGAACAGCGGGACCCGTCGCCCCTTCACGACGAAGCCGTGGCCTTTCTTCATGTAACTTCTACTCTGACGCTGCAGCTGCAGATGCCACATGTCTCGCATGCGATGGGGCCTAGGGACGTGCAGGGCTGGCTAGCAGCGTGCAAGGCTCGGTAGCACCGTCCAGAAAGCAAGCTGAATGCTTGCAGCTGCATAGGCACAAACAACAAAATGATTGAGCCCGAAGACCGATGTCGGCAAACTTTTCCGCGGTTCTGGTCTATCGCTGGACTTGCTCCCATCCCACCGGCCTCAAGGACGTGCTGTCCAATTGCCAGCTGGGTTGCCGCCACCTGACAGAACTAGATTCTGAGGATTTCGGTGGTATGAGCTTTCATCGTCCAGATTACGCTGCAGCGCCAGGAGGTCAATCAAACAAAGTGCCCTGGTAGACGAACGCTGGCGCACCGAATCGATGGAAGTCATGGCCCGCGTGCGAAAGCAATCTTGTTGGACCCCCCTGCGGCCGCTGCAGTTCCCCTACGACAGGCCAGGAGGCCAGTGCGAAATGCCGGCACTTCCAAAACTCCAACTCCGCTGAGTGCGTGGCGGAGCTGAGTTCTTGCCAACCGAGACCTCGAAGAGCGCAAGCAAGACGTAACTCTGAAAATTCACGATGTGGTATTGCGAAGACTCAGATGTACAGTGGTGCGAGCATACATAAGAGAAAGCCAAAATATATCTGTGTATATATATATACTTCATATATAAATACATCTTATGTCTATGTACATGCACACAGCACATAGTGCGTGCATGCATGCATACACATGCACATGCTTACAGTACATGCGCCTATACATACGGACATACATATATACATACACACGTATATATACATGTACACTCATACATATGTATATATATATATGCATATGCATACGGACATACATACATACATACACACGTCATCACACATAAGTACCTACATTCATGGACATTTTCGTGCAGGTACACATTCGTCCATCCGTTGTTCCAATTTTCCATGCGCAGAGTGTAGCTATACATATCTGTGTACGTACACGTATGCATGAGCACAACGGACGGTATCAATATCTGCAAGCAAGTAGCTGGTTATCTCTCAACTAGATGTTATGGTACATGGTTGAAAGGTTGCGGGCTTGCCTACCTACCTACACACCTACATACCTGCATTCATGCATGATCAGGCATGCATACGCATGATCCAGACATCATACATACATACATACATACAAACATTCATACGCATATACATACCTACCTACTTACTTATGTACGTACATCCATCTGTCTATCTATCCATCTATCTATCCATCTATCCATGTATCTATCCATGTCCCTGTCCACCCATACATCAATGTATGTCTTTATGCATGTGTAGGTATACATACATGTGTATGTATGCATTCATTAAAGCACGGATGTATGAATGTATGTATGAACGGATGTGCGTATGTATGTATGTATGTATGTATCTATGTTGGTATGTATGCATGTATGCTACACATGTCTGCATATGTATGTGTGCGAAGTTATACACATGTTTACAGCAAGTACACTGTAAGACCGAATGAAAACCAACTCTTCCCCAGGCTCGTGCTATACGGCACGTCACATCGCATGAGCTAGATAAGCCTCTTCCACCACCTTAAGCCCTGAGTTATTTCATCCTGACGTATTGCGAGCTTTAGGATAAAAACGGAGATACAGCATGAGCATGAACGTTAATTTCATAATTATGGTTCCTCTGCGAAATACTCCAGAACCCAGATTACAACCTTTCCAGCAGCCAGGAGCAAGTGCCTCGAATGCCCGGTCAATGTCTCCCAAGAATCTGCAAAATATCAGGTGGTGAAGAAGCTCTGAGCATTGTGTAGGGGGTTTGGAAATCGAAGTTATGGCTCAGACGTTTAGCGATTCAAGACTTAGTGTTTCGGCTTCAGGTTGGGGGATTCACACATTGTCTTGGAGGGCTTTTGGCATTCAGGCTTCAAGGCCACGTGTTTTTAGGCTTCTCGGGGTTCAATCTTTCAGGGGTTCTCGAGACCTGACCTGGTGCTACCTCACCCTTCAATTAAGCAGGCCTGGTGTTTCGCCCAACCTATGTCCCCATAAATGCGGACCCCAAGTTCAATCACGGGCCACGGGTTGAACGAAGTATTACCGCGTCGTCGGTTTGAGAGACCTGCAGTTTGGGAATTGGAGACTCAAGATATACATATTCATTCTGGGCTGGAAAGAGCGCAGAATTCTCGCAGCAACTTGTGCGGTTGGGATCAGCGCACCCCTTGGGGGAGCAGAGGAGATGAAGTACTGTCGCACATAAACGCCCAGAAGGCTTCGTTGGGTTTGACACTCAATGAAACAACAGCAAGTAAGGTGGAAAGCGAGCCGCGGTCCCAAAGACAAACACGCAAATCCCACGAAACCACAAGGACTATTGGTTACCCACGCGATGATGGTCATACTGGGCATCATGACAGTGATGATGCTGAAGATGAGGACCCTAAGCCCTAAAACCACACCATGGTGCCTCTTACCTGGTCTGCCTCTCAAGCCCTCAGGGTCCCACCCTAAACTCCCCGAGCCCTCAAAACCCGGCCCTTGAGCCTAAAATCACCGCCACCTGAAATCTCAACCCTATGCCTATGCCCTAAACCATAAGAAGGCCTAGCTCCCAAACCCTAAACCCTAAACCCTAAACCGGGGATGGCCTCGGAATTCGATAGGACCCAGGGCCTGTCAACAGCGAGCGAATGCAAAATCAGGTGGGGCCAAAGTCTATACCCCCCTTAGAACCAGAATAAAATAATTGATAGTTTTAATATTCTCTTGGGTTTTATCTCAACAAAATTTTTAGCAAACAAGGAGACTATAGAAGTGGCTTGGCGGCTCCTTGGGGCCTGGACCCCGAAAGTGAAAAAAAAAAAGTGGCCCTTTATAGCTGCCGGGCCATTGTTTTGCTTGATTACTTTTGGGGGCTTACGTAGGGTCCGGGGTTTAGGTTCAGGGTTTTGCGGCACAGGGTTTACGGAAGGTTCGTTCGAAGCTCTCGGCTTGTTTGGGCCTGGATGCGCTGGAGCGCTGCAAGACAGGCTGTGCTATTCCCTGCGATCTTCGAATGAACTCTCAATCCTAAACCCTCCACCCTAAATACCCCTAAACCCGACGTAGTTCCAGCAATCTCGAAGCACTGGCCTGGCACTGCCTTCCACTGTCTCCCTTCTTCTCGCAACTTCTTCTGGCTCTTGTCATCGCGCCTGGCCAGTCGTTGTTGTCTTCAGAAACCGACTATCGCACATGCCGGAAACGTTGCAAAGACTATGCAAGCACAACATGGCATGAACGGCTACGAATGGACGGGGCATAGCTAGACTCTGCAATACGTACTTCTCTGAATTCGGGGCCCTTCTGGAGTCGTACACAAAGGTGCCGTACTCATTTGGGGACCGAAGACCCCAATTTAGAGAAAACTACCCAAATCGCAATCCGGCCTTCGCAGGTCGTCTAACAACGTTTCCCCATCTTGGCAACGGTGGGTGCCAGTCTTGCCTGCAGGTTCCATCAAATCATCCTCACCATCATTCCGAAAATGCGTAGACTACAAAGCATGATAGGCCCTGTGCAAGATGAAGTCTTGTAGGTCCGAACCCTCCGAACCGAAATGCTTTTCTGAACATACTATTGTCAGATGCTCTCGTTCCTTGTATGTGTACCGACAGTCCCGCTGGCCACTTCTTGCCAAGTTCAACAGGGTCGGATGCATGCTGGACCGATGAAGATAACGCAAACTCCTGGATCACTATGCAAGCCTTGCTGCTGACAAAAGCCACTTTCTTTTGCAACGTTGGTAGTGGCGCCCTTGCCCAATCTGGAAAAGTCTTCAGGCATCCGGAACCGAGTGCGGCACAGAAGAAGCTCCTGTTGCTCGCGAGGGTGTCCAGCCTCGGCGGTAATGCAGGGTTTTAGGGTTCAGGTTTTAGGGTTTAAGGTTGAGGGTTTAAGGTTTAGGGTTTAGGGTTTATGGTTAGAATAGAGCTTGGGTAGCGTATAAAACGGAACTCTATAAGATAGGTGATTATTTTGAGCTTCTACAGTCTCACAGAAGCCCTCTTGCTATAAAGGCCTCCATAGCTACTGTCATGTCAGAGTAGCTATCAAGCAACAAAGAGCACGGATGCTTTACCGAGCACGTGGTTGTTCGGATGCCTGAACGCGAATCCCGAAACCTAAAACCCTAGAGCTTTCGACGATCCTTTAGTATCCCTACTGTTGATGGACGAAATTCTGCATTACCCATTATAAGGAATATACCATAGTTCCCGTAGTTTAGAGTCCTTAGGGTCATGCAGGATTTTTGTCCATCAGCAGTATATAGAAGGAGCCTTTGGAATGGGTTCTGTAGGATCCCTTTGGAACTCGAAGCTCTTCACCAGATGCAGCTTGGTAGCTCATTGTGCAAGCGGCCTCCGAAAGAGAAGGACGGGGCAGACCTGGGAGCCGAAAGTGTTACAAAGTGTAGACATACATATACATATATATATATGTATATATATATATATATGTATACATATATGTATACATAGGGTTCTGGACCGAGCCTGTGCACAAAGCACGGGAATAGCCAGGGTGCCCCTTAGTGCAATCCTTGCACAGCCTGCGCCATCATTGCCCGCTCCCCCACTTGGCATAGGCGGCTACGAAGGCAGCGATCAAAAGCACGAGCCCGAATCCACTGGTCAAGAGCCGCTGGACAACACCCTTCCCGAAAGGACTTGCACCTCTTGTCGGCTCATCACAGCCGGCCGTGCTTCAGGGAGCTACGACTAAAGATGGGCCGTCGCAACAACGGAGGTGGTCGCGAGCAGCACGGTGGTGGATGGGACCCGGAGTACTGGGACTACTCTGGCTGGCAGCGAGATCGCCGTCCGGCCGGGCCCAAAGCCCCCAAGGCGCCCTCGGAGACCTGGAGCTTCCCTACGGTGGACGACATGAAGGTCAAGAAGAAGGAGAACAAGCCGGCGACCGTGAACGAGAACACCTCAATGGCCACGGCGGCTGGTTCCCTCGCGAGATCGGTGCAGAAAGCCCTCAACCAGGTCCGCAAGCACGAGGCCAAGATGCGGAAGAATGCCAGCGACGCCTCGGAGTTGCAGGAGAAGTGGGACATGTACCAGCAGGAGCTCCAGCAGATCTTCGTGAAGGAGCGGCAGCGCTTCAAAGAGAAGATTCGCCACCTCGAGGACGACAAGAAGGACATCCAGGAGAACCTCGACTACGCCCTTGCCGAGCTCCAAGCGGTCTTCATGGAAGACGAGGACACGAAGGATGCCCCGGCACCGAAGATCGAGGAAGAGGCCCAGGATGCATGGGATGCCCTCATTGCTGGAGCGGACGAGCAGCCGGAGATCTCCAAGATTTTGGAGTCGGCTCTGGCAGCCAAGTCCCAGCTGCAACAAGCCACCAAGGCGCAAATGCTCGAGATCCTGAAGAAGCATCGCGACAAGCAGAAGGCGGAGGAGACTGGCCCACAGGCCAAGAAAGAGCCGGGTCGCAGTTCGAAGGACAAAGGCAGTCCCACGCCTGGATCCTATGCTGCCCCATCGGAGCCGCCTCCACCGGAGCCCTATTTGCTGTCGCCATCGACCCGCTCGAACGCCCGTGGCCACACCTTGTCGAGATCCCGCCCCAAAGGAAGCCTGCGAATGCCGGTGAAGACTGTGGGCCGTGCTCCGACCCCTACCCCCCTGGGGGGTACCCCACTGGCGGAGAAACTCGCCCGGCGCAGGAAGGCGGAACAAAGCCACGCCGAGGCCATGGCGATCGACACGTCCGACGAGGAAACCAAAGTGGGAGACCTCCCAACCAAGGAGGCCGACGGGATGGACTGAGCCCGGCGGCTCGATATGGTGCAGGGCTTTTTCGGCCTGTCCCTGCACCTTATACTCTTGGGTTGGCAAGCTTTGCTAGCGCGGACAGAAGCTGGACCGGCTGCCCCCTATTTCTCTTCAACGTCAGTGACGGAGGCTTTTCCGGCTTGTCCTCCTCAACTGCCTGTTCTTCACCCTTCGCCGATGATTGGGATCCCGGCGAAGTCCCACCTCTCCTTTGTGAAGGTGACCCTTTTGGTATTCCTGGTGTCCTTGATGACCTGGAAGGTGCAGACTGGCACGGCCCTCAGGGAGGCCACGTCCAGGACATTATTGGAGCCCTCTTGCTCTTGTATGACAAGATCGAGCATATCTTCCAGAAGTACTGCCAGTGGCTCGAACAGTTGGCCCGAGCTTGGCTAGTTACCATCGAAGCTATCGGTCTTGCCTCTCTGGCAAGTTTTGCAACAGTTGCCGCCCTACGACATGGTAGGACCCGACATCGCCTCTATCTGGGTGGCACGGCTGGCCGACTTTGCCGAGTTTACATTTGTGTGATGGTCTGGCGACCTACATCTGCTGTCCAAACCACTGCTCCGAGGCCAACTTTCATGAGCGGGCGGCCATTGGGTGTTGAGCAGTGGGCTGCCGAGCAGCAAAGCAGATGGGAGCGGTTGGTGAGTGCCCATGACCATGTGGTGAGATGCTCTCCACTTTACCACAGTGAGGGGAGCTCGCCCCCACCACAATTTACCGTACGGCCGCCGGGTGCCGCGGCGATGCAGCTCGTCCCAGATGAGTTCCAACTTGGCCAGCGGCATATCTCAACATGGGTAGCCACGCCTTTCTTTGAGCCGGAAGTGGTCGACATCCAGGTTCGCTTCCCCATGACCCTGGACTTCCTGGAAGAGGCCCTCCGCGACTCCCTGGGCCTCCTCCCGGACTACGCGAGCGAGCTTTACCCTACTACGCCGCAACTCGACGACCACTTTGCCAGCTTCGTCGCTGTACCAGGTTGGATTGAACTCACTGATAGGGAAGTGATTGTGATTGATGCCCGCCCCATTGGAGGAACGGTCTACCCAGTATATCATGAGGGGCCCCTCACACGACAGACTGTGCAACAGCACCTCATCGATGTCGAGATCGAGCTGGACTTCTTTGTTTGCGGGAGATCCAGGCCCCTTCGAGACGGTCTCTTGATCCTGTGATGGGTGGTGTCATTCAGGTGCGCGGAACCGAGGCTACACCTGTCTGGTCTGACTCCATTCTCAACAGGTTGGGCCAAATCGAGCGATGGAACCCTACCGTACAACCTCCTGGCCTACATGCGGGCCTCTTTTCTGTCTACCAGTCAGCTGAGGACCAGGTGATCCAGGCGGTCGATGAAATCGATGACCGGCCACTCGAAGTTGCCGCGGAGGAAGCTTTGGACCTCGAACATGGTACGTGCTGGGTACGACTCCCGGAGCCAAAGATCGCCCGACTCACACATGCTGGAAGGGCCATCTGGGAACAGGTTGCCGTCCTCGACGGTGTTGAACAACATGATCGAGACGCCCGTGTAATTTTCCTGGACCTTCGAGGGCTTGGCCTCTTTCCACAATGGCTGCAGCTCGGCGGCGATGTTTTCAGGCCAGAGGAATATGTGGAGGGCCTTCAGCTGCAAGACTATCCCGAATGGACCCTCATGGTAGTTGGTGGCGAGCCTATACCGGAGGGCGGACTCAGAGTCATGCCATGTGAAGTCCTCACCATGTTTCTACAGAAGCCAGAGACGGACCCGGTTGATCAGCCCACCGACGACGACTTCGACAATGGCCCTGAGGACCCGGATTCGGATTATGATGATGATGACCTCATGAGCCCGTCAGGTGACGAACAGGTACCTCCTCCGCAACCGGGTGACCCGCCCAGAGGACCACCACCGCCCGAGCCAGTCAATCGCAGCCGGTCGCCAAGAGGCCGTAACAGAGAAGGGACGACCCACAGCACGGCTGAGACTACCCTTGCAAACTATGCCCAGGAGCCTGTCGCCCCTACAACCCTGAGCCTTGCGGATGTGCTTCCCCCGCCGGTGTTCGACATTGCCCAAGAATCGCTCGCCCTGCCACACACCCAGCAGGATATTGCCGAGTTGATGAAAGCCTGGGAGCCGAATTGGTTGGACTATGACACCTCGGCGCTGGCTCTTACGGATGCAACGCGAACTGGCCTTCAGGACCTCATCCATTGGAGCCAGGCCCTAGGCATGGCGGATGCCAAACATCCCCTACGGGTTCACCTCTATACGGACGGGTCTTTCAGTCACCGCCCTGGGCGCAGTGGAGCTGGGCTCGTTATCCTCATTGAAATTGGCATCCTCCTGAGCCTCTTCGGCATACTGGGAGAGCCTATTCTTGGAGCCTCACCTTGCCCCTGGGGACCTTCAGAAGCCCCGGCCCTGCAGGCGGAACAGGCCGCGATCATCATGGCTCTGCTCTGGCTGGGTCAGAGCCTACATTTCTTGCAGGCCAGCGAGTACGTCCTTCACTTCGACTGCCAAGCGGCTGGCTGGTCAGCTGATGGTACGTTTGCTTGCTGCAACCCGCTGGCAGTCCGAACCAGGCATCTTGAATCATACCTGCAAGAGGTTACGAACCACAGGTTGAAATTCACCTACGTTCGAGCGCATGATGCGCACGCATGGAATGACCTGGCAGACACTGTTGCCAAGGCGGCTGCCAGTCAGACTGGAACCCTGCTGGGCCCGCCGCACAATGTGATCGAGCATTTCCTACGCCTTGATCTCAGCTGGGCGGCTGCCAGTCTTTATGGCGACCGACACGGATCCCTGCCGGTGCTCACAGCACAGCGCCTTCAATGGGATCCCGGACATCAGACCGCCGTCAGCCCTCTACGACCGGACGAGCTGATTCCTGTGCAGATTCCCAGTGCCGGCCCACCGGGGAGAGCCCGACGTTTGCAGATCCAAGCCACCTCTATCAACATACAGGGAATCAAAGGCAAATACAAGTACCTCTCCGACCAGCTGGCACAAGCGTGCTACCAGACTGTGTTCTTCCAGGAGATCAAAGATTCTGAGGGCCTTTGTCGCACTGGTGACTACCTCCGACTGCACACGGCCTCCCACTCCCACTGGGGTGTCGGGATTTGGCTGAATCGCCGCACTGGGTTTGCAACCATTGCGGGCCAACCGGTCACGGCGGAGGAGGCTGATATCCATATTCTCCACAGCGACCCGCGACTGCTTATGATCGCTGTGCGAAAGTTCCAGAAACGGTTCATCCTTTTCTCAGGCCATTGTCCCCACACTGGACGCCCCCAGGAGAGAGATGTGTTCCTGCGCCTGCTCCAAGGTCTACTCGAAAAGGTGGGCGAAGCCTACATAGTCCTGGGCGGGCTTGCTTTGAATGGCCGACCGCCCCCCAACTTCTCGTTTGTGACCGGTGATTTGCAGCAGGGCGAACCAGATGAGGCAGGTGCCCAATTGGTACAATGCTGCCAGCACACTGGCCTTTGGATCCCGGCGACCTTCGGGGACATCCACGTCGGGACCACAACTACGTACGTTCACCCCAGGGGAGACGAACACCGCCTTGACTTTGTGCTGGTGGGGGGCCAGCACCACAGCACAGAAGCCCGGAGTTGGACGGACCTTGACATTGACACGGGCAATCGACAGGAGGACCACCGTGCGGTCTCCCTGCAATTGCGCGGACACTTTGACGGGGCCCGGGATACCCCCAGACTTCCCCGCCCTCGGTATGACAGACAAAGAATGCTCTCAGAAGAGGGCAAGGCCGTTCTGACCCAGGCCTACCGCGACTACGCCCCACCACCTTGGGAAACCCACGTCGATGTCCACTGCCAGCACTTCCAGGGCTACATTGCTGATGTGCTTAATAAGCACTTCCTCCCACCCAAACAAGGACCCAGAGCGTCCTTCATCCCTCCCCAAGTTTGGGCATGGCGAGAGCTCAAATTGAGCTTGAAGAAGCGGACCGCCTACCGCAAGGATCTTTGGAAAACCCTACTCCAGGCGGCTTTCGCACGATGGGCCGGGGACATTACCGTTGACTTGGCCCCGGCAGCACGCATCGATGGACTCCTCTACGAGATCACGGCGACTGCCATTGGCATTGCCACGGCAAAGATCAAGCGGGAGATCTATCAAGCCAAGGACAAGTTCCTCAAAGGGCTCATTGCGGAGGGGGCCCATGGGACCGCGGATTTCCTCCGAAAGATGAAGCAGCACGGTATTGGAGGTCGTAAAGCACGGTCTTCCTTCAAGCCTCTGCCACGCCTGCTCCAACCCGACGGGCAACCTGTTGTTGATCGTTCTGCCCAAGATGTGCTGTGGCTTACGCATTTTGGGAAACAGGAACTCGGCGAGGTCATTTCTACTACGGACTTCCTGCGACAGGAAACTGGCAAATGTGCCGGTATTGAGGAAGTCGAATGGACCATTGCCGGCCTCCCAACAGTCGAGCAGGTTGAGTCCGTGCTACGAGCTGCGCCACGTGGGAAGGCTCCAGGCATCGACGGACTGCCTGGTGAAGCCTTTGCTGCTGCCCCCCAAGCCCTTGGACTGGCAATGCACAGCCTCGTCACCAAATGCATGCTAGTGGCGTGGAGGCATCTTGTATGCCGCCTACAAGGGAAAAGGCCCCACCACGGATGTTGACAATCACCGTTCGTTGTATGTCAGCAGCATCCCGGGGAAGGCTTTCCATCGGCTACTACGCGACCAAAACCAGGAATGCCTCCAGCAGACACTCCACAGTTTGCACCTTGGCAGCCGTCGAAATTCTCCGATACAGTTCGCCTCGCTCTACCTTCTGAGCATCTTCAGACGCGGAGCACGTCGGAAGATTTCTACCGGTGCGCTTTTCCTGGACACGCGCTCTGCATACTACAGAGTCGCTCGCGAAGTCGCCACTGGACCAATACGCGACGACTACACGATTGCCCGCATCTTCAAGCACTTCGAATTGGATGGAGAGGACATCCACGACCTCTACGACATCATTCGAGCCGGGGGGTTGCTCACTGAGGCTGGTACCCCCTCTATGCTGAATGCCGCAGTTCGTGACATCCACCACAGGACATGGGCCATCAGCTCCTGCTCTACAGGACAGAATGTCGCCTCCTCCATGGCCGGGAGCCGGCCAGGCGAATCCTTCGCCGACGCGATCTTCGCATTCGTCTATGGAAGAGTGCTGGGCCAAATTGCCGAGATTCTCGATGGAGAGGGTGTTCTTTCCTACGGTTCGTACGACCCCTCGAACGGCATCCTTGGCAATGGAGCTGCTGGTGATTCGCACCTCCTCAGAGATGCGACATGGGCCGACGACAGTTCTTTCCCTCTTCAGGACGAATGCCCTCACAGATTGGTCCGTAAGGCAGCCAGGGCCAGCTCGGTTGTATTATCGAGATGCAGCTCCTTCGGCATGTCCCCCAACCTGGCACCGGGCAAGACGGCGCTGGTCTTGGCCCTCCGAGGGCGTGGATCCCAAAAGGCTCGGCGCGAGCACTTCTCTCAGGATGGAAAAACACTCCTCCTGAGGCGTCCTTGACATGCACGCCACCGGGAAAGCAGAACAGCGCCGCCGCTTGGCCCTTGCTCAGAGCTCCTACGACAGCGGCAAACGACTGCTGTACCAAAACAAGACTATTCCCCTCCGTACCAGGGCCAAGATTTTCGAGATCTCAGTGCTCGCAAGCTTGTTCAATCTATCACAGGTCTTGCCGACTGATGATGCATGGCACAGCCTGACGGATGGCTATTCCCGCATTGTCCGCAAGCTCCTTGTGACCCATGTGACCGGCGACCAGCTCTTCCACGTCCCGCTCCCGTTCGTGCACTTGGCCACTGGTTGCTGGAAGCTATGTCTCCAAGCACGGCGAGCTCGACTCAGCTTGCTGAGCTCCCTGGTATGTCATGGACCTGATGCACTATGGGCTGTCATCCAGGCGGAAGAGAGCTGGGCAACAGTCGTCCGGGATGATCTACGACGACTTGCTGTTGCCCAGCCCGGATGGCCAGGAGATCAGCCTACTGATTGGCCGGCGTGGTGGCATGCCATCCGTGACAATCCCGGCCGCTTCAAGCTCAAGGTGAAGCATATGCTCCGCAAAGAGCATGAGGCGATGATGGCCTCTGATGAGGTCCAGGTCGGGCTCTGGGCCATGTACCGCAAGGCCAGCGCTCGCCTACCGCCGCCGCCGCAGACACAGAGCCAATGGATATGCCGGGCCTGCAGCTGTGGATTTGCCACCAAAGCACGTCTGAGCGTCCACTACTTCAAGACCCATGGCAGAGTCTCTCGACACCGGCTCTGCACGATAGGTACGGAATGTCGTGCATGTGGCGGTCGATACTGGACTCATGCACGACTACATGCTCACCTGGCGGCCTCACCGGGATGTGTTGAGGCCCTAATTGCCAATGGTCTGACTACGGCGCAGCCCCTCCCCGGAAGGGGCAGCAAAAGATGGCGGCAGCTACAGCTGGAACAGTTTACATGGCAGCCGGTTCAGCACGATGGCCCGGAGCCCGAACTCGAGCATGGCGTGCCCCCCGACCAGCCGCCTGACGTCTGGACCATCGAGATGGACTCCGTCTACAAGGCGATCTGCGACTACTTTGAGCATGGTGATGCCGGGCAACCTTGTGAACAAATAAGGCGGGTCCTAAGGGAACAGATGTCGCAGAAACCGCTATACCGAGCGGAGGAGCATGCTATTCTGCGAAGAATAGATGCGGATGCCCGAACTTTCCAGCAGGACACTGAGTTCGTCGGGCTGTACGACCACCTCTGCGAGGTGCTACTTGACCCGGAGGAGGTGCTGCATTGCCCGGAGCACTCCTCTGACCCCCGCGACAGGACCCTCGACACGTTCCGGGAGTTCGAGAAGGAGATCGCGACGGTGGAATGGCGTGAACTGATCACGGCAAACCAGGAGTACGGGACCCATGAACAGGCGCTAATTCATCTTACCACGGGCTGGGAAGCTGAAGAGCCCGCGAGAAGTGGCGCCTGGGAAACTTCAGCCGTGCTCCGGCAGCCGTATCTCGTTGTCCCAGAAAAGATCAGAGAGGCTTGGGACCGCGTTCTCGAAGCAAGAACAGCGAGCCTACATGCCCCTAGTGTCTTCTGGGCGAGCCCATATGCAGTGCCCTTTCGAGCATTGCGGGCGGAATTGCAATCTAATTAACTCGCCGCGACGACCCCTGAACGCACGGAAATGAAAATATGTCTACATATATATATATATATACATATGTCTACCAATCTATCTATCTGTAGATAGAAAGTTAGGTATGTAGAGGTAGGTGAACAGATAGACTGATGGATTGATTGATTAGAGATATATAGTAGATATTACAATGTCTATAGAACTGGCTTGGGGGCTTGTCGTTGTTTAGGTTTGGGCTTATAGCGTCAGGGTTTGGGATTCCGGAAGATATTTGGGCTTAGGGCTTCTAGGGGTCCCGGTTGGATAGGGCCTAAGGCTCCTGTTGGGTTCAGGATCAGGGTTCGGACGCCATGCCGAAACACCCATGGTAGTGAAGCATTCTACGGGTATGCCAATCCCAGTAGCCCTCTGTGGTTCTGAGGGTGAGTCGGCTACTTGAACTCTTGCTCCGTATCGTGGGTATACAAAGGAGGTTGAATATGTGGGGCATTCGGTCGCTGGTCTGATGCTTTGGGGTCACCCTGAAACCGCGGAATCCCCGAAGTGTTTGGCTCAAGGAAATCAGATCCCGGCGCAAAGCGCGGATCTCGCGACCTCAGGCACGGCTCAAAGAAAAGTGGTTGTGGGTATGTGTGTGTATATATATATATATATATATGTGTGTGTACATACATATATGTACATAGATAAGCATGTATATATATATATATATATGTGTTTGTGTGTACATACATATATGTATATGCATATATATATATATATATATATATATATCTTATGCGAAAAAGGGCTCACAGAGAGGGGTTCATGAACCTCAAACCCGAAGCCTCAACCCTGAAGACTGAAACAGTCTCAGGCCTTGGGTCTTCGGGCCGTTGTAGGATCTGTGGAATCCGCCCTTCTGAGGGCTTTCGGCGAAGTATAGTATACTACTATACTATAATGTACTATGGTATGGTATAAAGTGGTATAACATGATGTAATATGATATACCGTAGTAGACTATGATGTACCATGAAATTATCACGTAGCATCAAGGTGCAAGCTGCCATTTCGAGACGCCAAGGTTGCGCCGTTCGGGGAGCTCGCGTTTCGGGCTCAGCTTAGGGGGTCAAGCAGGAAGTCTGGACTTTTCCTCAGTATCCGTCGTGGAATTCTTGAAATACAAACGTCAAACATACATATGATACGACGGTTGGAAGGCAGTTTGAGAAGGCGATTAGAAGTAAGCCAGAAAACGCCGGGTAGTTGCCCACCCCAAAGCCAGAAATGCAAACCCATGGTCTCGGCGTTTGGCTTCCGTGGCCTAAACCAACCTTTCAATCCTGAACCCAAAACAATAAATCCGAACCTGAAAACTTGAACCCTGAACCCGAAACTCTAAGCCCTTAGCTCTAAACCATTGAACCCCAAAACCCTAAAACCACAATCCAAACCTTAAAGCCCCCAGATCCCTCTCTCAGCCGGCAGGCGCGAAGATTCTGCGGCCAAGGTGATGCCGCAAATCTGCACCGGCTGCATCCTCTGAGAACAATACAGGAACGTACTTGTACCGTGAGGTATACTATAATGTACTGTAGAATGCGATGATGCACCAGTATACCTTGTAATTCACTATAGTATACTATATACGCTGACCTACTGCAGTACAAAACTATTACACACTGGATAAGCTGGTGAGGCTGTCGGTTTTAGGATATAGTGCGTCCTAACGGCAGCTGCAGTCGAGATCCCGACGATGTTTTGTCTATTCCTTATACTTACCACTGCTTCTAACTGCTTTTGCGTTTTGTTCTAGCACATTCTCTGTCGCACGGACGCGGTTTAGCATGGTAATCTTTGATTTCACAGCTTATGCTCCCAAATTCTGCTGGATCATGTTCCCAGGCATGTTTGCTTTGACACTTCACAAGGAGAGGCGGCACTCAGAACGGCTTTGGGCATCCCCGAAGGCAAAGAGCACTGGAACCCAGCCTGAAGGAGAGAATCGGAAAGCTCAGCACCCCCTTGTGTGTGCTATGTGTTGTAGACTTCAGCCTATGTACTCTATATCCAATGCAGAAATCCGACCCCTAAACCCTAAACCTTAAAGCCGACGAAACCGCGGGCGCGGCTCCTCTAACTGCCGCTTGGTCATGCCACGGAAGGTGTTGTCGAAGCTGCGGGGTGCCATCCTGTCAGTTCGCACCGGTCTTTCCGAGGCTCTGAAACAAGGCGTGGGATCTTCTGGCGACTCTACAACCTACTAAATATACTGTAATACCTCAAGGATCTTTGCAAAAATGCACCATGTCACCTTACCGTATGCTATATAACCTACTATAACATGAAAGTAGATTTTATTGCACTACAGTATACTATAACCTACTATACCATGAAAGTGGTATAGAGCGCCTGAGCAAGCCGCAGGGCTCTCAGCGGTCATGAAAGCCTCTCCACATCTGAGCTGAAACAGCTGAGGATCCCCCAAGATCTCGTCGGAGAACCGCCGCCGAGCGGAGAAAGAGAAAGTTAACGAAGCCTGTAGTATACTATAACTCCTATTAAGACTATAAGGTGCCATATTACCATATTGTATCACCAAAATGATATGCTAGAACGTACCATAACATAAAGTAATTTATTCTAGAATGGCTCGCCAACCTCTCTTGCTCAGGTCCTACGGTCCTACGACACACGAGAAACCTCCGGACTTCATACACACGACTTCCTCGTTGGTTTGACTCTCTGTCTAATCTCTCGTGCTCCCTGAGCGGACATCCAGCTCAGCGCGTTCGCTCACCCTCCGTCTTCTTCCTTCGGATCTCTCTCTCTCTCTCCCGCTCCCGCTCGCCTGTATAACCTCCAGCTCTTTGCCGTCACCAGTACGTCATCAAGCAAGGAAGGTTCGGCGAATGCTTGCGAACCCATAGACGTGAGATTCAAATGTGAGAAAGGCTTTGCAAGAATGCGGGAGCTGGGCGTCGAACATCTTGTAGTACATTTAAGTACACTATGACACATCAAAGTCTAATAATTACAGTAGAGTAGAGTGTAGCACTAGATCCTGCTAGCACATCTTAGTCCATTAAAACACGTTGAAGTTCATTACAGTAGAGTATAATACAAACTCCAATAGGATCCCTTGCTGTTTTGACCAAGCACCGGTCTTGAAAGGAACTCAGCATGAACGCACGGGGCTCAACTTCGTATTGCCCCGGCCACTGCTTTGTTTAAACGCGCGTCGGCGGGCAGAAATCTTGTGGCACAGGCAATGCTGTTACTTGGCAACAAAAGCTAGCATATGTATACTGACGACCAGAGTGATTTTCTGATACGGCAGTCAGGTTGGAGCTTTGAAACTTGCCTGGCGACTGGAAAACTCACAAGAGACCCCTCTCTGCCGCCAGTGACTGCTAATTAAACACTGCCTTCAAGAGCCAAGCCAAAAAAACGACACGACACTGCGATATATGATGGTTTGAGGCACCTATCTCAAACAATAAAAAGACTATCCGATGTCGGTAAACCATCACAACGCATGACGAAACAATGGGCAGCCTTCCAGCGGAAGGTTTGCTGACTCTCGGCTGAAGGCGGACAGGTGGCATTTCTCGGAATTGGGCTACCATTGCTGGGCCTCTGCGAACAAGCATGGCCATGTTCGTCTAACAAAAGCATTATCAGAATCATCATTGCCGTCATCCCCATCAGCATCAGCATCACCATCACCTTCTCATCCTCACTAACCTCGTCTCAACCAGTGCTGATAGCACTACCGGGGCGGCCGCTTCAATAGTAGGCTAGATGACAGCCAATAACCTCAATAACCTGTGTATACAACAGCAGTAGCATGTAGAACAGGATGCGCGCGGACACTATTGCACAGATATTGCACCATCCAGACACAAAAGCCAAGCATTGCTGGGAGGCTTTTGATACTAACGACTGCGAGAGCCCAGAAGCCCACTTGCCGAGAAAGCTGCCATGTTAATGTCTCTCAAAATTCCGATCATCCTAGGGTGTCTTCTACAAGTGCCCCAGAAGGGCCACTCACTGAGAACTTTACAGATTTCAGGCACAAGCTTTTGCTTGCCGCAATTTCATCTAAGGCTGCTGGGGCAAAGCCTCACCAACCACAGGCATTAAACAGAAACCCACAAATAGACACATCCCTCTGTACTTCCGGGTCGCTAGACCTCCCAAACCGACAAGCCCTCAATCCTGGGCTCAAGGGTAAACCACGACACGCTACAGCTTGCAACCGATACTTAAGATGACCCAACACCGTCCACAAGCTTTGCCGGATCTTGCGGATCTCAGCAGTCGATGAAAGGATGCTTCCCGGATCGCTGAACGGACCGCGCCTCTTCGGGGAACTCATAAAGGTAGTTGTCAAAATTAGGGTTCCTTTTTGGGCACCCTAAATGCCGTATTATCATATAGGGACCCAAAAAGGGACCATAATTTTGACAACCACCCATAAGACTCATAAAGATAAGGTGTATTCAGAGGTGATCTACGAGGGGATCAAGGCTTCGGGTTCGAAGGCCTCGTAAGCATAGGCCAGGAGTTGGGGTCTGGGGTTTAGGGTTTAGGGGTCATGAAAACGTCGGTCATTCGTTGCTGATGCGTGCTGTGGACGGCATCAACACCATCACCTGTTCTTCTATTTGCTACTCGCTTTATCTCCATGACTTCTGTTTCTTTATGCAGCAAGAGGACCCCCAAAAATTCAGAAGAGCGCGAGTGATCTGCAGTACGGTCAGTATCACAACACCGGACTCATTGTTCTAAAGTTTGGGGCTTGAGGAATGCCACGAAAGCCGCGCGGTAACGGTATCGGACCTTCGGGAATAGTGTTCCGATTCTTACAGGGATGATGGTCAATGCTCGCTGAAGCGGCAAGGTGAAAGTCAAAACGCCGAAGTGCCCAGAAGCCTAACGTTGAATGTAGCCTCCGCGCTTCAAACAAAAGCTGACTCAGGGGGGCGGGAAAAAAACATGCCATCGGTCTCCGTTTTGCTGCCAGCGATTCATCCACTGTACAGTAGCACGGGCAGTAGCACGTGACTGCGAGACTATTCGCAGCGGATCCCCGCAGCACAAATCCGGGTGTTGGCCTGGCAGTGCAAGGAAAATCGACAGAGCAACTATTCAACTATACGATTATACTGCTATGCTATACTATTTATGTACTATTACACTTTACTCGCAGGACGAACGCGTTGAGAAACAAAGCACATCCAAGAGCACATGGCATGTAGTCAGCTTTTGATGTCATGGTGTCCTGGTCCTCTTCTACACAAAGTCTAACCCAGGCTTCTAATCTTCCACAGTACGATAAGAACACCTCTGCACACTTTAAACTCGCTCTTAGAGCCAGGAACATGCTGGAACTGCAGCTCAGCTGCCAAAAACGCACGACCTGCCAGGAGCCTCCAACGTGGGAGGGAATCATCCCACTGAGGGCTTGCCCTAAGGCTCCAAAGTAGTTCCTTTTTGGGGTTCATATATAGAATCCTATAAGGTAACCCCAAAAAGGAACTACTATGGAGCCTCTGGGTGTAGTTTGGCAAAACTAAAACTCCAAAGACGCGACGCCCAAAGAGTGCCGGCCATCGTCTTCGAAGAACCTACAACCTCGATGCACACCACCCAGCATCTGAAAGCTGAAGCAGGCAAGAACCGCCAACCCAGTTTTCCTGCCACGGTCAAGTCTCAAATGTATATCCCAGAAAGGACTGACTGAACCCTATCAGTCCCATGACCCAAAGATTCTCAAACTGGCTTAGGCGAGCATGTACTGTAGGTGTGTTGGTATGCTTTTGCCCTCTAACGTCAAAGCCGCAGCTACATCTGGCACATCGAATTTCGTCACACACTCACAACCCACATCTCCCTGGGCCCTGATGCCTGAACCTTCAACCAAGGGGCCTTAGTAATTAGAATAGGGTTTTGGTGCCCCTTATACTATAAATATAATAAAGAAACCCGAAAATAGTATAGGTAACTATTAAGGTGCCTCTATTGGATCCTAGCCCCAGCACTGCCCTAAATCGCGACCCCTCAGGACCCCAATTTGAACTCTTTCTCTTCTCCCCTGTGAATATGTGTGTATTATATGTATATGACGCACATACATAAATGCATAAGCCGCCAATCCTCACCTCTGAAGCATTTCTAAGGCCCCTACATAAGCCACGAAAATACATCATAATGTCATACATCACCCAAAACCGTAAAACGGAAGGGAACCAACTAGTATTAATACGATTACTACAATTATTACTACGTTCATGAAACCGTTTACTACAGCAGTCGTATGACGATGATAATTACTGGTCTTCTTCTTGTACTAGTACATGCTCAGTTGTTGGAAACTCCTGGTCTGGCAAGCGAGTTCATGGGACTCCGGTAGGACCACCGCTGCAGAGGCTGGCTTGCCCGTGAGGAATTTGTAAGGCTTTACGCTTAGGGCTTTTTGGTTCAGGTTTAGGGGGCCTAATCCTAAGTGTGCTTAGGAGTTAGGGCTTTCGGTTTAGGGCTTGTTGGTTCAAGTTGAGGGCCCAATCCTAAGGGTAACCAAACGGTATGCTCGGATTTTTGAGACTAATTGCAACGTAGGGCAGGGCTGTGAGGTTTCCAGTGCGTCCGAGAGAGACTTCGGGGGTTTAGAAACTCAGGAAGTGAAAGAATAGAGCAGCAAGAACCGGCTAGATACAGAAACTAAGCGATCACTCTTTGGAGCTTCTGGCTTCATAGGGACCCTTAGGGGGGTAGGGGGAGGGGGGTGGGGGAGGGGGGTAGGGGGTCTTATACCTATAATAAGGACTTCTTCAATCTACAGAGCAAACTTGCAACCCATGCGCATACTCGCAACCCGGGTGCATTCAAACCTTTTTTAATCTTTGCTTTGACTGCTAGCTCATGCAATCCGGAATCTCGCGTGCTTGCGCAACTACCGTCACACTCGCGACGAAACGACATCAAGTACGTAGCTGCAACGTAAAGTCGATGTGCCAAGAACAATAGCAAGCATCGGGGCTTCGCATGTGGATGTCAATACTATGTTCAACCAGCGCCTATTTAGAGCGAAAGGTCCCTTTGGGCAAACTTTGGGCCAGCCTCTCCTGCGGGTTTTCTGGCGGCCACGAGGGGAGAGTTGCAACTTTTGCTGCAAGGGCTTAAAAAGGAAAGCCAGGTGCTAGACGCTGCTGAATTTTGAAAACATGAAATCTCGAACTTCCAAAACTACGTATATAAACCTTACAATCTCGATGCTAGCTCACTGAGCACTAAGCCGCACAGCTTGAATCCCTCACACTACGGACCTCACCGGTCTAACCTTCTTCCATCACATTCAAAATCCTTCTTTGAGAAAGTCAATCTTGAGCTGAACTCAGGTGCATGATTGCGGGGGTCATCGACTCACACAGCCATCCAAACAAGAGTTAACCAGCAACACCAAGGAAACCAACAACATCACCGTCACAGACACTATCCGATATAAGACAACATCAATCCGATAAAAGACACTGTCGAAAATTAAAAGACCAGACGCCCAACTGGCTTTCGTGGTCCTAGGCCTGCCGCTTCACACCGTTGTTCAGCTTTTCGTGCTTCATGACCCCATCCTGGCAGCCACCAGTGGTTGACAGTGTGATCGGGGAGCGTCGCGATTGCGGCGGAAGGGTCCGGTCCGCTGGGCTTTGAGTCTGTTGAAATTGCGCAGTTCAGGATGTATGCGAGTTTGCGTTGAATGACTTGGAGCCGTCTTGCACTGAGGGGTTGAGCAGAATCACTGCTCGGCTGCACCTCATGCGTGCCTCATTCTCGCAGCAAGAAGCTCTTTCTGAAATTTTTAAGAGGCTCAGAAACCCATCCAAAGCAGTTGGCTACCTTGCTCTCACGTGGCTTCTTTGCAGCTGGACACCAGCAGCTTCACTGGGCACATGAGTGCCTTCGACGATCTGCCCTTCACCCTCTGGTAGTGGCATGTAGTGTCGCTGTTGCTACAAACCCGGTTTCGACTGAAGCTCGATGCCAGCCTCGCACATACATGCAAACAACCGTGAAAACATCCACCCAAAGCTGTCAACGATCCATGCACGACCTCACAATAGGATGCCTTCTACACCATCTTGAAACAGAAGAGCCCAGAAGAAGTTCGAATGGCGTGCTGCTTCGCGCCTCCAGGACCCACTTCTCGTTGCAGATCCGCTCTACGAAGTCGCTCTTGGGCTCGATCATGATGATGCCCCCGCGGAAGTTCGTGAGAGCCTCGATCCCAAGAAGGGTGTATAAATGCAGCTGCTAATTACATGTCAACAGAACTTGAAGAGGGATAGCTTCTCTGCCGATCTGTGAAGGTGTGAAGGTGTGGACCAACTGTAGTCAATCAGTCCGGGGCCTTCAAGTCTTGTCTGCCTGCTTTTTGGATGGTCTTCTCATGTGAAGTAGCACAAGATCTGACAAATGCGTGCAGCATTCCACCCCTGGCACCTTGCCCAGCGCATCCACCGTCTCGACGTCCAGATAGTTCGTGGGCTCATCCAAAGCGATGAAATGCCTGGGGGGTGACCGGCAGGCTGTTCACTTCAAAGCAACACTAAATGGGAGTGCCCGAAAATAGGGGACCCTAATATAGTACCGTAAATAGTAGAATCCTTATTATCAGGATCCCAAAATAGGTTACCCCTAAGTTTCGGAAACTCCCAAATCGCAGCAGTCATCCGAGAATGCGTAAACTGGAAGGATGAGATTCGGACGGCTTTGTCCAAAACATTGCTGCCAAGGACAGCCGCACCTGACAGCGCTTGAAAAACCTACCCCTCAGGGTCCAAGCACCCAGCTATCATATACTCTCCCAAATAGTAACCTGCATAACTACTGTCACAAACCCAAGTACCCGACAATTGGATCCTTTGGGCCCTTGGGGTACTAGCTAGTAGTTGTGGCTTTTACTACCCGTGCTGTTTTTTTGGTACCATCATTACAGCATACGCTATGGAGGAAATAGGGAGATATGTGGGTGGACCTGCACTGAGGAGGGAATCACATGCTGAGGACTGATGGCTCCGACTCAAGATGCAGGACCTCTAGAAGTCCACAAGGAGGTGTTACTTTTGCCGAAGTCACAGCAGCCCGGCAGAGGTTTAAGTCCCGCTTCAAGGGCTAAAGCCCCGTTTGATTCTGGAAGTCAGAAGTCCTAGGTCCGGACCAGAAAACCCGCGAAAGGGAAGGGTCTGGCCTTCTGTCCAGCGGAGAAGCCACGAATCTGACGATTGCAGCACATCTCCTGGTGGGGCCGGTCATCTGTGCTATGAGCTGCAAAAGAGGCGAAAGTGCGCAATGCCGGATGCTTCATGGACACCCTCAAAGCCCATAATCTGCAGACAGAGCGAACTGCCAGTCAACCTTATCGATCCCCTACACTATGATAGACCCTTATATAGCTGTACCATACTATATGGTGCCGCACTATACCGTACAATAGTATACTGTACTAAGCTATGATGTACTCTACTAAAACGCCAAGGCCGCCAAGGCCCCTTCACTACCCCGTAGCTGCTATGTTTTCGGACAGCTGGGAACCGACCTCATCGATGCCGAAAGCTTCGCAATGCCTGCAAGATGAAGTCAGAGTCGTAAAGGGGCCTGGATGATAAAATTCTTAGAATCAGCTTTGGGGGAGACATACCGTACTATCATTATGCAGGTACTTCCTGGCGATATTATTGCTCACTATTCCGACCCCTAGTGTAAAGCTTCTGATCCCAAACTGCAACCCGAGAAGTCTACAGCGAAACGCAACTTCAACATCTCCCCACAGGTCGGTTTGTCGGACACATCGACGAACTATATACTCATATAGGCAAAAACAACCACGCTCACAGTCGCTGCGAAAGTTGAGCCCGACAGCTGGCCGGGAGCGCCGGCGCCCCCAAACAGAGGCTGTCGAGATTCGAAGTTCCTCTTTGTGGGGCTCGGTAAAAACAGGATCCTGCTCTTGTTCTGAATGCATCTGTCGGGTCCCATGGCTATGGGAACTCCTAAGTCAATCACTTATAACTTATAACCCTAAACCCTAAACCCCTACGCCCCTAAAGCCTAAACCCGAAGCCCTCTCCAGCCTGACAATCTCCCGCCGTGTGAGTGGACGCTGGTCAAGTCCAGCGGCCTGGCTAGGCAGATTCCTTTTCGGGTTTTTGCTTCACCACCCACTATCAACTACGAGTACATGCGCTATTACAATGAAGACTGAGACAATGGTTCCGAGGCCAGTATGCGCGGGTGAAATCATGCTGATTCTGACTGTTGGACTCTCTAACCCGCATGATTATGACGCGAAGCATGTGACCATGCCTGTCGTGCTACCTCTGAACCGTGTCATTGTTGCCCGAAGCTTGTAGAGTTGGGGAAATAGCCACCACTGCCACCACCGCACCATCATAACTACAGTCATTGGTGACTTCGTCCGATTGCCCATATGAGGTATCTTATGCGTGTGCACAACAGCTGGTTGGGTGCCGGAAGCAACCTTGGCGGCGATCCGCTCGTCGCAGGCGATGATGACCTTGTCCAGGCCCATCGCCTTGCGAAATGATCTGGTTCTGGAGTGCAAGGTGACGGCAGACGCACACACAGATCCTGCACCCAGCATGTGCTCGACCCACAAAACTGCGAGCATCCCATCTGAAAAAATGAACCTTCTTTCTGCAGCGCACCTTCAGCTTGGAGATGGGCTCCACGGTGTTCTGCTTCGGATCATCCAGCCCGTCCTTCGAAGCAGAAAGCACTGCAAGCTGTATTGCACAACGAAAGAGCACATGAGCACATCTCACCCTGTTCTCACCTTGCAGTCAGTGCCTCCTGATGGGGCTAGGGTAACCCTAAACCCTAAACCCCTAAACCCCAACCGCTAAATCCTCAGCTCCGAGCCCATCTAACCTCATAGGCCAGGTGGTTGCCGACCTGCCCGGCTCGTTTGCACAAAGCAGAGACGCAGCTTGAAGCGCAAAGATTAGCAAAGTAACCCAAAACCCCAAATCCTATACTCTGAACCCGGAACCCTAAAACCTAAACCGAACAGCACACCGGCCACCTTCGTTCGGCTCACCAACTCCGCAACTTCATTGCCGTACTTGCCATGCTGCTTCGCAAGCTCCTCTGAAGCTGCAGACATGGCGGTGGCTCTAGGGTTGTAGACTTTTGAGCGCAATCAAATCATGTATACTGGTTGCTGGGTTAGGGCCTGCTGGTATACTAGGATTACACGAAATGTGCCGAAGAACGTCTGAACCAAGACGATCGAAGTGGAGGTGCGGCTCCGACCGAATTATCCCATATCTGACGTAGACTTTTAGACACCATGCCAGCGTCGCCCGAACAGTCACCTATTCTTCATTAACACGTGCTCTGCGTCGATGCTGTTGGTTCCGATGCAGTCGGAATGATGGCTCCGAAGAGTGCAACATGCGTCAGTGGTGTGCTTAAGCACTGATGGCAAAACCCAGCTGGACCGAATGCGGCTGCCTCGCCCGAAACCCGCTCTCTCGAAATCGCGCCACTGGCGTCCTTCCGCCGCAGGGCATCTTCCTCATCTTCTGGCCTGGAGCGAAGCACGAAACTTCAGCACTAATTGACATCGCCTTGTTGCGGTTTCTACATGAAAGCGTGAGAGATGTGGTAAGAGGTCGGCTCTATCAGCCTTTTCTGAAGATCGCCGTCGTAGCCATCCTGCTGCTTGGCTCAACTGCACGAGGCCGACACGACTCGCATGGGGATGCCAAGGACACCGGCAGATACGAAACACCGCTCCTTGAAGCGCTCGGTGATGTATACAAACCTCCATCATTTGCAGATGGCTGCCACAGCAACTGCAAGCGTCTGTGAAGCGTGGCACAGTCGACGCATTCAACTGGGGAATCGGCGGCGAAGTGTCGAAGAAAGGCCCCAAGGCTTTCAGGTGATCCTGACGTGCTTGCAAACCTTATACTCAAGCCTCCGAATTTAGTTTAAGGTACCGTAATAGGGATCTATAAGGGCTCCTTTAAGGGATTGATAAGGATCTACGGGGGCTCCTTTAAGGGATGTATAAGGCTCAATAAGTGCTTTAGGGGATTTATAAGGATATGCGTGTGTGTGTGTGTGTGTCCTGCTTCATGTAAGCGAGGCGGAGGTTGTGATGTCGCCAGACCTGCCACCACGTGACAGTGCACTGTGAGGAACTCGTCTTACGGGAAGCAAAGATGGTAATATAGAGGCTTTACTAACCATCTAATTATGCTATTTTGGCGGTTCCTTCTTACAAGTATGCTATCGTATACCACAAAACTCTATTCTAATTGTTAGCGCCCTTATAGTAGCTTTGTCGCTGCTGCTCTTGTCTCCCTTCTGTCTGCCATAAGTCTCAGCAGTTTGCCCGTCTGGCCCTCACCGATGTGTTTCGCAGAGGGCCTCCCCGTGGCCGCCATCCTTGTTGTCCGACGGATGCAACCTTAGGGTTTAGGGTTTAGGGTTTAGGGTTTAGGGTTTAGGGGACTACACTTCCTTAAACGGGCCCGAATTTTGACAACCACCCATCTGTTTTAGCAAGGTTCGCACCTGGCCGAGGACCAGGCTCGCTGCACAACAATGTCATGAGAGTCGACTTTCCACAGCCGTTCCTGTGGCCCGAGCTGTGCCAGTCCAAGTACCATGAAACGACATCTACTTCCCGACAAGTAGTAGTCGTAGTAGTAGTAGTAGTAGTAGTAGCAGTAGTAGTAGTAGTAGTAGTAGTAGTAGTACTACTACTACAACTACTACCACACAGAAGAAGCCTGCAATACTAAAAGCTCGGTCACATATCGAGGTTGATCAGGCTAGATTTGATCGGTTACAGACCACTTGCAGCAAACGACAATCCAAGCTCCCACGACAAGTAGTACCACAGGCACAGACACGTGAAACTCCCCTGATATCAACCTGTAAGGGCTCATCTTGATTCGGAAAACCACTAAACATGTCAAGAAAAAACGGTCCTGGCCCGCGTTCAAGCTGAGGGTACACAACCGGATATCTTCACGTGCTTCTCGGACCACACACACAGCTTAGAAAAAATGCAGATAAGCAGAAACCCTAAACTCCCTAAACCCATAGAAGCGTGCATGTGGGTCCTGCCGCAGACGGCCACACGAGAGCTCAGACTCAGCTTGCCGGTGCAGTCTTGGAAGAGGTAATCCTGTGCCAGGAAGCTTTCCAAATATTTTCTGCACATTCCGTACAGGCGAATACATGACTATACGGAATACGAAACATGACATATTGCATGGTGAGTCATACAGAATGTATACAACATATCTGATGATTGTTGCATACATATATACATATACACATACACACATATGTACGTATGTACATACATATACATATATATATATACATATACATATATTGCATGTGTATGTTTGTATACGTCCATTATCGGTAAGTTTTGCGGCTTCTGGATATGTGGCCGGCTGCCCTGCAAGGATTTCGAGATCCTGAACTTGTGTCTAAGGCATGCAGCCTGCTGGTCGAAGAGGGCTCTACTTGCCAGCAGTTCTTGGGTTGTGGATTCGAGAATTTGAAAACACCCGAATATAGGGGCCTAAAGAATTACCTGTACTGTTTTGCTGGGGCTCCTTATTATAAGTAAAGTATAATGGGCCCCAAAGGCCTATTCTAATTATTAAGGCCCCTAAAGTAACCCCAAACTTGGATCCTAAGTTCAGGAGGCAGGGGTCTTGACTGGAAATCACCTGCCTGAACATGAGGCCTCAGGCTTTGTACGCGTTTCGGAGCTGCGTACTTCGGCTAAAAAAAACTAACTCCGCAGCCACGTCTTTAAACCTAAACCCAGTTTGCCCTGAGTGCAAGATCTCTTTGCCTTGTCCTTCGAAAACCGGAAGGACACGTGCCTCGGATGCAGACCACAACGCAAGTACCCAGAACACTACCTACATAGCTTGAGACTCAGCTCATGTTAATGTCAGTTCGAGCAGGGAGAGCATTCAAGTCTCGAGCTCCTTAGTTGCGGACCTGCCACATTCATAAGCTGGGCGTGAGATTGTTACTATTGAGACTTCATTTTAAACGCGGGGGTGTGTTTCGAAACTACCAGCCATCCCTGCCTACTGAGATGACCCATACCACGATAGCTACCGCTGCTACGAGCACTGAATGCTATGTCTCATGACATTCGCAAGCATTTTGATGGGGCCGGGTCGGTGGTATTGTCATTGTGACCCCTGATTACTGCTTTTCTTCCGTCTTCTTTCGTCGCCGCCATATCTTACGCACCATCAGCACTAGCTCCTTGATCGCCACGGCGAAGTCGCCTTTGCGAATAATTCTGACCAGTCATTGCCGTCAATTCTGGACCACCTCTTTGTGTCTCTTGCTCTTGCACTGATTCTTCTCCTCTTCTTTGGCGACTTTCTAAAAATCTCGAAACACGCAACCCGCTTCCCTTACAAAGCCCTGGCGCCTCATCCCTTCGTTCCAGATACATCCAGATACCACACTGGAACTCCGACCCTTCAGGTATGCATGACTTCTGGAGGACTCCTATCGAAGATCCCCGAGACCGCGGCTTAATCTCCAGGACGCTTTTGGAGCCGGTCCTGAGCCACCGCTTTCGGGCTCGGAGAAGTCTCTGTGACGTGCTTGGGGATTACTTTAAGATCTTATTGTTACCAGGAATTCTTGCTAAACAATATATAGTATCATGAGACATTCGAGCTGCCGGCTTTGGGTTTGGAATTTCGGGGCAGGAAGACGAGATGCGACCTCCGAATTCTCCGAACTACAAAGCTTGCAGACTAAGCCAGGATCCTCTGAATTCCGCACTCTTCCTTCTAGATGTATATATAAGTACTGTATATGTAGATATACTCAGTCGCGAATCATCAAGAACGTCAGGACTCTGGGTCTCGGGCTTCACGCCCTCCATTGACCCAGGGATCGGGAAGGTGAGCTTGGGCGGCCCAGCCACAGGAGCTGAGACCTAAAACGAGCTTTGGAGGGGGTTGAAGTGGGCTCAAGATCTCATGGTCGTCAGGCTAAAGGATCTCGCCCAGTGGGGCACGCGAACTTAAAGTTGCGGCGTGTTGAGATGCCACGTGTTGCTATGTCAATGTCGAGGCTGTGAACGGTATTGTCGCTTCTCATCGCCAACCGCTAACCACAGTCAAACCTTAATTCATTTTCCTTGGTTTTCCAGTTTTGCAAGCTGCTGCAACAGAAGAAGACTTCTAGGGCTACGCGTATAATCGAAGGTTCATCACGTGCGCTCGCTTCGCCAAAAGCTGCTGTCGGCTGTTGATTCTTGTGTGGTCACTGGCATTTGGGTGGTTGTCAAAATGATGGTCCCTTTTTGGGTCCCTATTACAATACGGCACCTATTATTTAGGGTACCCTACAAGGGACCTTAACTTTGACAACTACCCACTTGTTTGCAGCATGCAGCATTTCATGCACTTCATTGCGATTTTGCGTTTCGTTCGTGCTGCGGGATACCGCCATAGCTGAGCCCCCAGCTTTGGAGACATCACCTGTCCGGTACTTAAAGGATCATGGGACTTAGTAATTAGGGTTATTATTGAGGTAACTATACTTAGAATGACGTATAACCCCAATTAAGGTACTTATAACCATACTAAGTCCCATGATCCTCCGAGTAGGGTTGGAGGTCTGCAGTTTGGGGTTCGCCGGGTTGCGGGGCTGAGCAGGACAAAGACAGATCAGGAGATGAGTGGTCTCCATGAAGCAACCTAGCTGACAATGGTACCGTACCGTCTAAATGTAACGAAGTAATAATAACAGTATTGCTGATCATAATTATCAGATATCATATGCGTCTTCATTTCAGAAAGACTGGGACTGGCCGTCGGCCATTACTTGTCAATCAAAAAGTCATCCTTTGCAACTACCAAATTCATATGCAGTGGCAGCCCCAACTCCCAACCGCACACCCTACATCCTAGACCCTAAGCCCTAAAACCCAACCCTAAGTAGAGATGGCTAGTTGGGGCCGGTGGGAACAGCTGCAGTGAGCATCGGGAAGCTCCTGCCTCCTTCCTCATCCTAATCCTAAGCCCAAAGCCCGAAACCCCAAGCCCTAAACCCTAAACCCAAAGCCCTAAGCCCTAAACCCTAAACCCAAAGCCCTAAGCCCTAAACCTAAACCCCAACCCTAAGCCCAACGCACCAAGCCCAAAGCCCCAAACCCTAATTATTCGCTCAGGTGCCTCCTTCCTCCTCATCCTCGCCCTCCTTCTTCGTGTCGAAGCTCAGGTTACCAGAAAGCATGGAGTCGATCTGCTCCTGCAGGATCTCGCATGAAGAATCACATATGTGTGTGTACATCTATACATATATATATATATGTATGTATATATGTATATGCACACACGCATTTTTATTAACATGTGAATATGTATATATATATATATATATGTATATACATGTCAATTTTTAAATTAACTAGACTACCATGTTATCATTAAACTACTACACTATGGTTTAATGATAACGGTATACGAGAAGAAACAGTTGCTGCCAGCAGTTTCTTTAGAGCCACGTCGTGGCGATAGATGCCGTAGCAAGCAGGCAGGGCGGTCCCTGCTCAGACCCTTCTTCTGGGCGAAGATGTCGAAGTTGCCTCGCGAGTCTGACAACAGGGTTCGCAACTCCGCGACCGAACACCAGAATCGTCATACATACGAATAATGGCAATCATCTCACGACAATTATCAGAATCAAAATCACAATTTTCTAGTTTCAAGAACAGCAGTATAATCGCGACAATAACGTCTACCGTCAAACTCGCCAGATTCCACTCGGTCAATTCTTGAAACTGACACAAGGCGGACCACAAGTCACAGTGAAACAATATACCCAAGCATGTATGCAAGTGTGCATGCATGTATACATGTGACCATGTCTGGATGCCTGTCTTGTATTTCGTCGGTCCATGTGCCAGCCTATCCGTTGGTACACATGCGACCATACTCGCAGACACGCAAGTGTACATGAACTCATTCTGCATGCATGCGGCCTGTTATTTTTGAATGCACCTCCATGAACACGGGTATACATGTGCCAGACGTGTTCGCGTACGATGCGTGTAAGATGCATGCAGGCATGCTGTATGACCTGCACAGATGCAAGTGCATGAAATCAATGCATGCATGCGCCTGCCTTTAAGGCCAGATGTCGGTCACAAAGTCGGCACGAACATATTGATACGTGTTTGCATATTCAGGGATCCGAGGTGTGCAAAATCTTGAATCTGTCCCGGTTTATGTGTGGCTGCGTGTGCGCGAAGTGCATGCATGTCGCGAGAGCTGATGTATATTCCCATCGCAAGCAACTGTGGAACTGGCCAGTACCTGCTGCCTGCCGTCTCGTCCTCTCTTTGTCTCTCTGTCTCTCTCTCTCTCTCTCTCTCTCTCTCCCTCTCTCTGCTGCTGCCTTCTGTGTACTCTAGCTTCTTGTCCACGTATGCAACCACCTGCACAGGAGGCTGCGACTGAATTCAACAACTTCAGCTCTCGCTGTTCGGACTGAGGCCAGGACATGAGTGCAGATCTTGTTCAGGAACTTGGGTTCGTGAGAGATGACCTGGCTCACTCTGAAAATCGCTTGCAACAAGCTGAAGCTGAGAAGAACCACTACAAAATGCCAGCACACTGCTCCTGAGGACAACTTTGTTGAAGACATGCAAAGCTGGCCATGACAGAAGATGATGTGATGGACAGGATGTAGTCCTGAGATTTGGCAGACATCCTCTCTGCCGTGCGTCAAGGTTCAACGAGCGTGTGGCCGCAGTGCTTTTTGTCCTTGCGAATTATAGTATATATTGTAGTTACGGCATACCTACAATTATAATATACCAGAATAAACTATACATTGTATAGTCTGGCACGGCATCCCTCATGTTTTATCCTACGAGTGCAACGCCTCGTCCTATGGGTGCGCTGCGGTCGCTCGGCTAAGGCAAAGGCGCTTAGCCACCGGACGGACTCCTCGTCCAGATGGTTCCTCAAAACGCAGAAGTGACAGCGCAATCCAACCAGTGTTCTTGATGTTTCCAAGCAGTTCAAGGAAGCAGGAAAGGTAACGGAGTTCTCCGTCACGAGGGCAGAACAGTCAACAGGTCAAGATCTGTCTTCTCGCCACCACATAATACCTCCAGATCACTCAGGCACCAGCGTGGGCTCATCCAGCAGAACCAGATCTGCGTGCTTCAGCATCGACACAGCCAGGGTCAAGCGCATCCTCCCAGTTTTTGGTTCCAGCGTGTCCGGCAACAAGTCTGGTCAGTACAGCAACTCGAGACGAGCCTCCATCCTGTCGACAGCTCCGAAACAGGATCGTTTAGCTTGGCTTCATCGAAGCCAACCTGCACAAGTCAACCTAGCACACAGCCCTTTGCCCGCTGCAAACATTGCCCTCAGGAAAAGCCTGCCTTCAGCAGAGTGTCTCTGCCTGCATCGTTTACGCCAATATCCTGCCAGCACAGGCGACTCACACAACTAGTACGAAATCCCATGGCCCATGTACCTGTCTCCAAGACAGCCCAACAAGCGACATTCACGCCACATGGTGATGAGTAGTCCTTTGCCATCTTGATGCAGTACTCCAGTGCCTTGTTCTCTCGCTCAAACCAAGTAAGTGCCCGCCAAAAATCACCCGATCAAACAGCATATACTATATGTCGTGTTCTAAGTTTATGGATACAGTTGTTCTTATCAACCATTTGTAACATACCATATACTATTCAGTGGATACTACAAATACAAACTGGGTATGATAGATCACCCAAGGCCCTGGCTGTCAAGTAACTCTTGCTCATTTCTCCGAGCTTCGAGTCGTCCACATGGACGCACTTCAAGTCCTCACATGTCGGAATGATAACCCAGCTTCTGGTCATGGCGAAGTGGCAAGCCATTGTGACAAATCCCTTCTTATACATCCCTGGGCCGAAAGTTTTGAGCTACCGGGCCTTTCATCATTATACAGACTCTTGTGGAGTAGCGGAGTGCTTCAAAGTACCGAATTCCCTACGCAGGCCAGCGGAGTAATTACTGCGCCGTTTTTAAATTATAATACTTATTCATTGCGGAGGAGGCCCCAAAGCTCGCTTGCGTCAGGAGTCTAGGGGGAAGAGGGTGGGGGCGAGGGTCAACTTCGTTGTTTAAGCCAGTGGGTCGAACTATCGGGCCGGCGCAGTAGTTTGGACTACTTTA